GGGAGGGGAGGGGAGAGGGAGGAGAGGGGAGGGAGAAAGGAAAGGAAACAGGAAAGGAAGGAAGGGAAGGAGGGTGGGAAGAAAGGATATGGAGGGAGGGAGGAAGGAAGGAAGGAAGGAGGCTGGCTTGAATATAGAGAGTCAGGAATAAGAAGATTGTTTACTCAGTGAGATTCGGTACCATCTGTTGTGGTTTTGTTTTTTGGATTTTGTTTCCTTGCTTGTTTGTTTTCTCTCAATCTTGTCTTCCTTCTGTAGACTGTAGGTAGTATTAAACGACTGGCTTATAGCTGAGAAAGACAGGAGAATTGAGAGGAATCTAATTTTATGATTTTGAAATATTATGTGTAGGTCTTTTCTGGATATAAGTTAGAAGCCGTATATATTCTGTGCTCTTCAGGAGAAAATGGCAACCTAGCCTAACAACAAAATAATCACATTCACGAAGAGATTTTTATTGTACTTCAAGTACACAACTTATGACTTCTCTAATATAGATTTAGCCATGTTTTACGAATGACAGTTTGTTCCTATAAGGCATAACTGAATCTTTCCCCCCAAAAATGACTGAAAAGACTTCTCAAATGTATTAATTCTCACATCATTTGATTTACTTATGATAATGAAAATTCACCTGACAATTTAAATACAAAATGAAGTGGCATATTGTGAAAAGCACATGTGAATAGGCAAGCTATTCACACACAACTGTTTAGTTTGTTCACTGCAAAAAGGAAATAAAATCAGCCCCAGGGAAGAATCAATTTTTTTTGTAATTCATGTCCCAAGAGGAGTGGGGAATTGTAGGACTTATGCTAAGAACCATACGCAATAGGTGCATTTTCAAATTGCCTTCTCAGTTAGAGGCTGCTGATGCTTGAACTGGGACACTCCTAGACCTCATAATTTTAAAAGACTGAGGCAAACACATAAACAAATAGAAATATCTGAGAAATTTGATTCAGAAAATACTGAGTTGATAAATCTAGATGTTTTGTTATTAATAGGTTAATTATTTTATAATTCTCAATAATAAAGCTAGGCATAAAATAATCTTTGCTATTATGTAAATCATGTGTGCTAATAATATACTTCATATTTTCAGAGATAGTTTCACTATTTTTTTTCCTTATTTGGACTTCTTCACAATTGCCTCTATTTATAAATGGACAAACTGAGCTCTCTAAAAGGCTAAGTCCTTCTATAAAAGTCAGAGTTATTTTAAGAACAGGGAAATAACTCAAATTTATTGATTCTGTCCCTCTTTGTAAAACTACCAGAGGTTAACTTATATATCTGAGGACATACCTGGAATCGAAATATCATCTTGTCAAATTAACAAATATATGTGTAGCTCTGTTTGCTCCATTTACTCCTAATGACTTAGTAAGATATACATATGATTCTTAGTCTTACACATGAGATAGATAGATGGATAGATAGGTAGGTAGGTAGGCAAGCAGAGAGAGAGAGAGAGAGAGATAGGTGATGGATGGATGGATGGATACATAAGATATAGAAATAATAGATACATAGATAAAGACAGGTAATGCAAGGTAAAAGTCCTGAGTGTGTGTTAATTACCACCACTGAGAAGTATTAAACACAAAGAAACATTAGCTATTCTAGCAGCCATGCCAAGAGAAAGAATCGTAAATCCTCGGGAGGTTTTTAGTAGGAATCCCTGCCCAGGTACTTAAGACCATAGGACTGGAAGAAAGTAGGTCTGAGCTTGATCCTTGTTCTCAGAATAAGTTTCAGTATCATTTTGGATAAATTACTTAAACTTTGAAAGTCATTATTTTCCACTCTGGTGTAAAAAAAAAACAAAACATTTGTCAGTTCTTCCACTAACAACTGTATTATTTTGATTTGCTCTTACTTTTGCAATAAACTTACAAAAAGTAGTACTTTAGACATTGAAGTAATTCATAGAGTCACACTAAATTGTGCTTCAAATTAAACTAGATTAAAATAAGTACAGCAAATACTCAATGTGGTCAGATTTACTAATGAAATACTTACACTAAACAAATATATTTGTATTTTACTTAATTCAGCATGATTCAGAACTCATAAAATACCCTATCATTAGCAATTCAGCACAAAAGAGATGCACAGTTCTATCTCAGTAACCTCAGGTTAATCTTCTTAATTAAAGCATTATCTCGTTTAATGACAATTTAGTTGCCAGTAAAATAAGGTTAATTATTATTGAGGCTTGTGTTTCAGAATTACAGAGGAAGGATTCTGTAGATATGCAGTCTTTCTGGAAAATGTGACTGTAAAAAGCAAATAGATGAACTCCTCTAATTTGCAAAGTATTGAAATGATCCAGATATTGAAAGGTGTGAATGAACTTGCAGTGTGCACTTAATTTCAAAACTCCATGGAGAGATAAAAATCTAATTGAGATTATAGACTGATGGACAGCTGAGTTTTGGAAATAGCCTAATGTTTGTTTTTTATCTAAAATTGGCCACATGTGTACACAAATTTTAGTTTGTTTTCATGTAAAAGCTAACAGGGTTATCGGTGATCCCATACAGGTAGAAGCATAGCAGAGTTGCAAACATTAAAAACAAACAAATGAACAAAAAACTATCTTATGATATGGTAAATACCATCTGTGTCTTTGACAAAGTATGTCATAAAATTATTCATCATTGATATGAACTGACAAAAAATCAATTTAATTTCTCTTTTTCCAAATGAGTTTATTGAAAAATAAAAATAGGCACAATTTTTCACCAACTAGAAAATTCAATGTCTTTATGATAGCTATCTTTTTAATTTGCTACTATATACTGTTTTAGACATTTTTTAAACTTTAGACATTTTTAGAAATTACTGTTTTGTTAGTCTATGTGACAAAATTATGAGGTATTTTTAAGCTACAGAAGGGAAACCTACTTTGACTCTAAACTGCTGACTTGTGACATATTCTCAGGGAAGTATTGTCTCATTTTTGATAATCAAACAATACTTGAGGATCTTTAACATCTTGCCCATCGTCTATATTCAGTAAATAATAGTCATGTCCCATGACATGAGAAATGCTGGTTAAATCTTTTTTTTTTTT